CAGAGGTTAGTTGACAATTTGAGTTATCATCAATTTAGTTACACAACTCAAAACTTCGAGTTACTTCTGAGTGAGTCAAAAATCCAAGTTTGCACACAAAGCGGCTCGAGTAAATTCAAGACCAAAACAACAGAGATTAAAAAGAAGAATAACAGAATCCCCTTGAATAACATTTTTTTACTGCAAACTGTGGGAAAAAATGTGCAACTAAACTGAAGTTGTTTTGTTATTCTGCCACACACTTCACACTGTGAACTTTTTTTAAAAGTCTTTTATTACCGGCATATCTCTCAAGTGTCCTTGGCATTCTTCTGCTGAGATAGTTGCCTCGTCCTCATGTATGACTCGCATGTTTCACCATCCTCTGGCTCTCGTTTGTGTAACACAGTTGCTATTTGAGAAACAAAAAACGTTATGCTTCGATAAGAACCCCGATGACTTGATACAAACTGCGTCAGCAAGAAGTAAAGACACTGCAGGTCATGCAGATCATACATGTGCTAAAATTAACGTGTTTTTAATGATTAATAAACAGAAAAAATAAACTGATTTGCAAATAATGCGCATTAATGGTATGATTATGATGGAATAATCTGAATAAACAGACCTGCAAATCCTGCTGCACCTTGCTGAATCTCACAGGGTAAATAAGCTGTGTCGCCTCTTCACAGAGCTCCATCACAGTGTGTTTACTTGTGGGGGACTGTGTATTTTATTGAAATGCCTGACTTCTTGTGCAGCAGGGCAATATCAGCAAACTAAAATATAACATTTATCTTTTTAGAGTCTGTCTTCTGACAACTCTTCCAAATAAGCCATACTTGTTCAATTAATCAATCGTTTTCTAATTGCGCTGCATTGAACTTTAACACACTAACTGAGGCCTGTAGAGTCTCAGCTGTAGCTCTTGGAATTTTCTCTGAACATGGTCTGACTTTGGGGTGAATTTACTGGGATGTTTACTACTGGAAAGACTGCTTTTACAGAGGTGCTCACACTGGCTGACAATCAGTTGATCAAGTGCATTTGTTCAGCAGCTGGCTGCTACTCACCGTCTATGGAAGCAGAGAGGGTGGAGTTAGCTTTTCACAGGAGTGCATATATGTACAGTTATAATGGCGGACGTTATATTTAACATAGCAAGAGTTTCAAATAATGAGGTCAGTGTCAGTGTAATCAAAACCTCAGATTTTTTAACTACTGTGATGGCACAGATGTAGAAAATATATGATTATTGACAGAAGATATGGTCATACCAGGCTCACAGCTCAGGCTGTGGGTACAGAAGTTCCACCCATGTGCTATCAAACCTTCTGCTTATAAGAGGCAGCCAATCACAAAACAGTTGGCTTAAAGGGAGAAAGAACAGCTCGTTTCAGGCAGGATCAACTGACGGGCTGCATAAAGGCCATGAATGTGATAAATATGGATTATTTTGAACAGTTGATCATGCAAAGCGACTCTAGTAGAGTCCAACAATAAAAAAATGGAGGTGGATATGAGTGTAATAGAGCTCCCTTTAAGTTGATGTCCTGAGTAGAGTTGAAACTCCAAGCCAAAGGCTAAGCTGATGAGTTCCTAGACTTGATTTCACAGCATAGTACTGGTCATTTGTTAAAAGGGAAACTACTCTGTTTGGAGTTGTGCAGGTGTAGCTTCCAATATGTCTTAAAATCAGCCTTTTTCACATAAATAATAATGCTGATGAGTAGAGGAACCAGACACAGCATACAATTGATACACCATTTATTAGATTATCTCACACATCCATTTTTTCCCACACCAGGTTTCCTTCAGTGCATTTCAGAGACCTGCAAGACAACCAGCAGAATCCAAAAACTAGGAGGATGTCAAAACCGTTAGTAAAAGTGCTCAGTCGAAGTCTCAACGTCAAGCATTGATTTTAAAAATAAACCCAAAAAAGAAAAAGATATCAAACACACGTTAACAATACATACATCACTGCATCGGTCAGATAAGTAGGTGATGAGTGCCGTGCTCCTTGCTGGAAGGCACACGCACATGAAGAGTTTGCATAAGGCACCGAGATTTGAAGGGGGTAGCTTATCAATGGCAGGGTGGCTTTCTGCTCTCAGAACGTGTTGCTTTAGCAGGGAGGCGATACATACAGGATATCGTGTATACATCACAGCACGGTAGAGTGGAATCAAAGAGGAAAACAAACACTGATTGAACATGAAGTACTCAAAGTGACTCCAGAAATAAGAAGGGCAAGCTTGGGATGGACACACATTTAAAGAAAAGATTTATTTACATTACAAAAGGAAGCAAATTTGGTTAAAAGCTTTCACAACAGACATTAGGAAATTTGCAATCATGCTGCAGGACTTTTCCAAACACTGCAAAACCACAAAGAAAAAAGGCAAAAGACATGAAGAGTGGCATAGCATTTTTAGAAGCATTCACCTTTGACTGAATCATTTAATTATTTAATAAAATTTGCTAATTTTCAGTGTACAACATGCTGTTCCAGCAACGTGAACTTGTCAAAAAAAAAACAAAAAAACCCCCAACACATCAATATTAACAGCATTCAGCATTAAATTGAGAGCTGAAGCTTTGAAAGGAAACTTTTTGCGTTTCTAAAGGAATTTATAGTGATCATCAACAAGGGCGTACACTGACTAAACATGGCGTTAAATTCAGTGTACATGTTGGCTGATTACGTGCTCATTTAGCTCTTTTAAAACACTGTTTTTTGGTCTGACCTACTTACCTAAAACTCTGCATCATAGTTGCTCACAAATGCACTACTAAGCACTTACATTAGGGAGTGTCAATGTGCAGGTTTTGTTCTTTTAGTGGTCTGTCTCCTTGAGAATTATTTAGCTTTTAAAGTGCAATTGCTGAATAGTGCCACAAGGTGGTGCCTCCTTCTGCTGTACAGACCTGAGGGGTGTACTATGAAGCAAGATGAAAGGATAACAAGCTAAGTTTAGCCTAAAGTCAAAGTCTTCAGCATCACAAAGGTGTGTGTGTGATTGGGGGGCGGGGGGGTTCAAACGGGATAAATCACCATGGCAACTTGTGCCAAACAACCTGGTGTGGAGCAGGTTATTTTCAGAGCAGCGCTAATCTTAGCTATTGGCTCATCTCAGCTATTAGCTAATGTCAGCGATGTGCTGATCTGTTGCCATTAATAACTGTTAAAATGAAAATGTGATAAAGTAGGGAAGAAAGAAATGAGAGAAACACCCTTCAACCTTGCCAGGGGTTGATGTTGCGTGTCCACCAGAGGGCACTCTGCAAATTCCCCGCTGGCAACCTGTTGGAAGCCACAAACAATAACCAACTGATCCAAGCAGACTGTAACAGAGTAATCCATTACTTGTGACAATAAAACAAGATTATTTTTGAACTGCAATGCCCTTAGTAATGGCTAATAAACAATCATACATAACAAACATTAGGGAAATCTCAAGAAAAATTAACCAATATATCAGATTATTTAAGTCGTGAAATCCAATAACATTCGAAGCACAGACCCTAAAGCAGTCTGGATTAAGTTGATTAGTAAAACAGATCATCTGTGAACGTGTTTTTAGGTTGTTGAACGTGCTTTGTAGTACACCCCTCTGGAAATGTACGGTTGATGTTAAGGAAACCTCGTGGCACAATGCATTACTGAGGAAATGTTGCACAAACACAGCACCCACTACTGGACACGGTAACTATTTGGAACAGTTGGAGAATTTTACCCATCACCAAACCCTAAGATAGATCTGCTTACAGCTTAAAAGGGAGCTTTAACTAAATTTTATGATTTAAAAAAATAACCCTAATAGAGTCATAGTGATGCCACCAAGGTCATCTTAGGTTTCTTACGCACACCTGGAAACCCCAGGCAACCTCTCGTCACTGGGGGAGGGGGGAATATTTCCAAACTGCTTGGGGAGTGGTTCCCAGCAGTTGCAAGGTAAAACTGATTGCAAAGCGATATATGGTGCTGCACCAATAACCTCTTTGTTATTGCTTCGGTGAAAAGTTGCGGAGTCCTCTGAGCAGGAGTGAAACTACGAATTGGGAATGTGATGCAAACCGGAAATAGACACCGTTCAAATTCAAAGTAAAAGTACGCCTTATTACTGAAAACATGTTTTAGAGGACTCAACTTCCACCTTGAGGGTGACCGGTCTCTATTGCAGGCTTGTTTTGCACTCTTCATAGTTTCACTACTGCTCAGAGAGCCATTGCAAAGTGTTTGCAGACAAGTTGGTGTCTTCCAAGCAAACTATAAGCAACATGCTAGAAACTAAAGCAATTCTAGTGCACCTTCTTTGCAACTGCTAGCACCACCTACCAACTGGTGGTTGCCATCAGGTTGCCAACCTGTCTCTAGGCCTATATGACTGGGGCCTTTCCTTCAGAGTGACAAGATAAATAAACTTATAAAATAAGAGTAAACACAGTGTACGCAGTGCAGTCTACAGTAAACAGTGAATGAATTCAGTGTTCAGTATTCAGATGCCGTTATTTTTTAATTTTTAGTACTTTTCTTTAAATCTGTCATTTTAAAGTACGTAAATTTCTGTAAGCACTGCTCAATGTGCTATTTTATGTATATACTCTGGGAAATTGCCCCGTTTAATAGTTACTCTGGGAGGCATCCACTAAATGTTTCTGTACTGCTCAGATCAAAACACCACGAGTATGTAAATACATCCAGTGACAGAGGGAATGACTTCTGTTTTATCAGCTCAAATACACAGATTCAGCTTTATGAGATGTATTCTCCAGTTACTTGGGGATTTTCTTTCCTATTTAAAGAAGATATTCACCAAAAGTCCCTTTATCCTCAGGTGAGACCACAGTTTAAAAAGAAGAGAAGAAAAAGAAGAAACTATATCCAGGCGGATCATCTGAGTCCAAACAGAGTATCATTCATCAGATCATCTTAAGGCTGTGTAAATAGAGTACCATTACCTGTACAAGAATATGTTTTCATTGACATTA